CACAACAAATGGCCAAGCAAGCGCAGACACTGACAAGATACGCGATACAGAACGAGACCAAACGCGATATCAGCACGTTCGTTTATTATAAGCACATGCTGCAGTTTAGTCATCTGCCACTATAAATGCTTGAGCTCTTTAAAGTCAAGTGGATTCTAATTGTCTGTCAGTGTTTTTACCAGATGGAAAAAAAAAATGCTAAAAGTGATTCCAAAGATATCAGCCATTAAAGTTACACCTGTGGTGTATGTATTAAATCTTTATAGGTATTGTTACAGTTATAATCTTTGGTGTGAATGGGCCTGAAAACCCTGATATATTACTGGCAAACCACCAAAGAAAATGTAGTAATGCACAATGTTTCTTTTTCCTATGTATTTTTCCAGACTTATTTCCATGCATTTGCACTTATAATGCAATATTCTTACAACTTTAATATTCAGAACACCATACATATGTCATGAAAAGGGATTAAATTAAAACTGTTTTGTTTTTTATCATCTTAGAAAAACAAGACATGCCTCAAGCAAACTAAAACTGTTGCTAACTTTGGCAGGGCCAAATTATAAACTATCGTCAAAGCTCCTCCAAAGAATATCTGCGATGACATGTACATGAAGACACTCAGTGTGTTTACTTCTGAACAAATAAGCCCTTTCAAAAGACTCTGAGGAAAAGCAGGACAGTAGAAGTATTTACAAAAGAGCATATTATGGTAATTCAGATGGCAGGAGCCCATGTTCCCATAACCATATGTCCAGAATGGTCGGCATGACTGGAGACAGATATGTGATGTATTATAAACCGCTGCTTCCATTTATGGCCAAGGCTTTTGCACAGGCATACGGGTGTGAAATAAGGCTTTTACAGGCATATAAAATCATGGCGGCTTATTGTTACATAATGCATGAGATGATGGACCCACACTCGTCTTAATGGTAGATCTCCACATCCCTCAACAAAACCATGAAACCTCAGCCCATAATGCCTGCTCGTTCACACAAAGAGGCAGTGTGCCACAGAGCCCATGAGAATAGTTGGCTGAACATGATCTCTTAGACTTGTTTGATTCACCAGGCGGTGTATCATTTATTAAAATCAATACCAGGTGAGGGCAAAACGAAACCAGACAAAAAGCTAAATGATATAAGACGGCTCAATATAAATGTGAAAACACGAGTGAATGATAATCCCGTATATGGGCCCACCCATAAAACTGCGATCGGTTGGATATGAGTGATATCATGGCATATCAAAGCAGCATGCACGTGTGTCATGTTTTCTTTTGAGTGGGACACCCTAATCGTGACTGACACATCCAGCGCGTTGGCATGCCTCAGATCTTTGTTCCAGCCAAGCTCTGATTAGATCCGTGGAGTACTTCGTCTTAATTGTACTCGGTCTAACTACTTTCATGTGTGTGTCGCATGGAAAGAGAGCAGGTACGGGCCCAATCTAATAAAGACAGAACAGAGACTGTAGGAAGTAGCAGGGCTGCTCCATATGTGAAGGATGAATCCAGTTAGACCCATCCCGCTTTGTCCACCAAGACCTGTCAACATCATCATTTTTGCTCTTGGAAACATATGTACAGTCTCAGATGGTAATATAAAACAACAATAAAACAGGATAGCTGGACTTGGGAGATAGTAATATGATAGTATTATGGAGGTACGCAGTGATTAATCCCCATATTGCTGCAATATTTTCTAGGAAACAAAATCACATGTTCAGTGTGAATATGAGATGCTATGAGGGATAACATTTAGCTACGCTTACTTGCACGGGATTTCCTTCCCTTTGATTATAAATGGTCCTTTTGAAGAGCCCAAACCATTTACAGTGGATCACAGAGACTTATGAATCAAGTATTGAGTCATTCCTCCTTGTAGTGATTGTGGGCTCGCTGAGATCCTGTGGCCCCCTACAGGTCTGGGAATCTGGAATCAGGCAGAGGAATCTGGAATGGTCAATGTTGAGATAGCACATGAATGCAGCATGGACCAGACAACCCAGGGTGAAGGGTGAGTGCCAAATATGCACCAGTGGCCGGCTGCACCAGCTGTGCATAAGCAACTCAGTCTGTCTAGGAAAAAGGAGTGCTAAGATACTACTTGTGCACTACTAAATATGTGAATGTTGCACAATTAAACTGAGAACGTAACCATCTACATAAAACTAATAATTATGGAAGCATCCGAACAGGAATGACTTGAATAAATGGTATGCTGATTAGATCATGCTTTACTTGACAATCATTTAGACATTGGTCATGTTGTTGACATTTACACGTGTTTACAGAGAGAATATTAAATGAATATATGACTTCAAGCAACTGTCAAACAAGGAACCACTGTAAACTTCCCTTTGTATTCCCATTGTAAACTTATTATATTTAAGTATAATAGATGGCATTAATAATATTGTGTCATATTTCACTGGGAATTAAATTTATTACTGCCTACAATTACAATAGCCAAAAAAAAGAGAGAGAAAAAAAAGGAAACGAAATACACATAGCAAAAATGATTTCTTTTTAAACTCTTAAACAAGATTTACATGAGAAACAACAATTATTATTAATTTTAATAATAAGAATTATAAGAATGAAAATTGTTTTAATATATTCTATCATGCATTTCTTTAATATGAGTGATTTTGTCACTGGAAGATTATTTAACTTGTTTATACTTAATTCAGGTGACAAAACTGCACACAAAATACACTTGTGGTAAAAGATACAGAAGTAAATTAAAATACTTTTTAAAACAAGCATTTATATCATATTCATTGTTGCCTGAAGTGACTGATCTTGTTTTAATGACTTTTAGATATTTTAACTAAAAGAATACTTAAGAATATGATGTTTTTTGCAGTGCACAGCTTTACAACATTATTTCTCAAGATTATTGAATCAAAGTGAATACCATATCATGCAATGACAAAATACTTCAGGAGATCTTATGACTTAATGGTTAAGCCTCGCTTTAAGAACTTATAGTGCAACCAAATGAAGTACATAGTTAATTCTAACGTAGCTAGCAGTTACTAAGCCCCTGGTGTGAATATTACATTCCGATTTAATTAAGACCTTATGAACGACTGGTGCAGCTACAACCTGGACTCTAAAATCTCACTACTTATCTTTGTATAAAAAAAGAGTGAAAGGAGGGTGGTAGGCATGGCAGAGTCATAAAACCCTTATCGCAGCCTGATCTCTGACCTCTTGTGGGAATCACAGGACCCAGGAAACATGGAGGTCAAGGGCAAATCAATAAACCTTGTCTATCTGTCAGCTCCCCACATCCCTTCTCTTTTTCTCACACTCACACAGTTTTTCTAAATATGGGCATGTTGAGACTCTCTCTATTCAGGAATATTCAAGTCTGTAATTCAGGGGAGCGAGGAAAGTATTCCTGGCAAGTGATTTTATCTGATAAAGGGAAGTGCAACTGAAATTCCTCAATTATTTTTTTTCCAAGTGCACAGGCAGTTTACAGTCTGCCAACACCAGAGTAATGCCACTGGAAGGCC